CTACTATGTAAAAAGGAAAGATTAAGGGTTTAAGGTTTTTAAAAACAGACAATCCCCTTCCCTAGTATTTTTATTATTTTTAAAAAATGACTATGAGTATATGCATACACACATTAACTCTTCATATATAAATAAGAGAATAAAGAGCTTCCATATTCCTGTGAGAATGCTCAAATAAAACAGTTGCATTAATTTCAATAGCTGTGTTTTGAAATAGTTTCATTTAATCAGGACAAAGATCCTCTTTTAAATATCACAATTAATGTTGAAAATATATCAGTTTTGTAAATTTCACAAAGCAATAATCTCACACTCTGACATGTTTCATTACAGAAACATTTTCCATCTGAGGACAGGCATACACAAGAAACCATGGCCATGCCCTAGTAAGGACACAGTTTAAATCACCCGTTTGTTATCAGCTTGCAGCTTGGTATGAGTTTGAACCCAGTGGTTGGAGGTGAAAGATCTCTGTACTAATTTACTACATCACTGAAATGCCTCCTAGTCTCCCTTCTGTGACTCCAAATTAATTTGAATCTGTCTTTGTAATTTTTTTCTCTTATCCCAACATATTCAACAACAGCTTTTACTAACAGTGAAGATCTCTCTTCTTCCTCGGTAAACAAAATGAATCTGAATGGATGTCAACATCAGCTGTGTTCCTGGGATAACAGGGAATTTCATCCTCTGTATCCAAATCTAGTGTGGTGCAGCAGCTCACATCTGTAGTCAGGCAGGTTACCAGGAGCACCTTGCCTTCAAGTCTTTATATATAGTTTGCATTTACTCCCTGTTTTCAAAACGTTTGAGAGACTTGCATAGCGTTCACAGAAGACAGCCTCCTCTTCTTTAAATGTCAACGACTCCTGACAGCTCTGCCCCTCAGGACTTCTGAATCCTGAAGGATGAATCCTGTGCTCTCAGAACTAGGCTCCTTCAGTAACCAGCTTCCTCTAAAACAAGCCTAACATACAACCTGTGAGCATTCACATTAAAGGGAAAAAAATAAAGTGGAGTCTACTTCTTTAGAGAGAACTATCAGGGTAATTTTTTCTTTAGATGCAAACCATCTTATATTTTTTCTTTAACTTAAAAGAGTAGCTATAGAGCTTTATAAATATATATGTATATAGTATATATATCAATGTATAATATATATACACAATGAGTTCTAATCCCACGGTATGGAAATGTGGAGAATTGCTTTGTGTTTCTCCCCAAGCTTTAGGATGATTTCTGATGACAAGTTGTCTTGTGCTCAGTTCCAATAAAATCATTATATCAGTTCAAGAAGATCCTAACCTTGTGAAAAGAAGGAGCAGTAGAAACATCCTGCAGCACACCATGGATTTGCAACAAACATTTCACCTGGCCTATCTTCAGTACACCTTCTTCCCTAAACCATCACCTGTGGTTTGTTTTGATACTAGATTATATTTTGTTATTGTATGGGAAGATGACTGAATTCCTTTGGAGAATAGCTGGACCATACTGAAGTCAAAACCTTCAAAAACTATGCAAGCTCTTGGTTTCCAGGCCATCCAGAGAACTAATGGCACAGGAAACAGTGTAAGAGGTGTTCTTCCACAAAGATAAGAGTCACCTGAGATAACAGTTTCCTGGACCTTCAGTTTATTCCAGCACAGTCACTCTGCTGAGCAGGCAAGCCCCTGCAGTGGTGGAGAAGGGCAATTTCAGTCCACAGGGTTTTTGCTAAACAGCTGGAGCTGGACAGAAGTTGGGACTCCCAGACTAATTCCCAGACTTGAGACTAACCCCCTTCTGCATGGAGAGAAAGAAAGAGCCATCTAGTTCATTAGCAGAAATTAAAAGAGTGGTATATGTAAATTAAGGCAGGATAGGGTGGGTCTGCAGGGATGATCTGTGGATTTACACTCCTTGATGTCAAAGAAGCTCTGCTAATTTTCAGCAATAGAGGTCCTGTCCCATTCATCTGACAGCTTACTGCATCTGAATTTTGCACACACTTACCTCAACTGCACATCCATGTGAAAGTGTGAATGGGTCTAAGGCAATCTCTTTACTTGTACATTTATTCAATGTGCATGCCTTACGTAAACACACACATCAGCAGAGAAGTGACAGACATTCTAAAGATCATCATCTTATTAAGTCTCCCCAAAAAGTAATCAGTGGTTTCAAAAAACACAGCACACTCATCAGATTTAGGAAATTTAAAAGCCTTGCAGGTAATACACGTCTTCTCTTTCCTCTTACTAGATCTTGAAAATCCCCCTGCCCTATATTTGATCATTTGCAGCATAAAATTATGATGACACAGTGAGGACCATCAGAAGCATCATCATCTTTATTTAGGTAAAAAACACATTTATCATATCCAGCAGCCCATTGCTAAGGTCATTCTGATAAAGAAAGGAATCGGGCCTCCACACAGGGAATACAGTGCTTTCCTAATCTTTCTTCCTCTGTTGCTGTGTCAAGAGGCAGATCTTTCCAACACACAGATACTCACTGGACTCAAAGCTATTGCAGGAAGCTTTAAAATGAGATATATGGGCCGTTCTACTCAGCTCCTCTGAAGTCTTTAGGGCCTTGTGTGCCTGCCAGATTACAATTTGCCTCTGGCAAAGAGGCCACTATTTTTTTGAGTCAAAACTAAAATCTGTGTATAAGAAAATAAGAACTCATTTTCCAGGTAACTATTTTGGTGATGCCTATCTTGTCAAACAAAGTCTGGAGTATCAACCAGAAAAAGTCCAAACCAACAATAAATGAATTTGGGATTTCTCTTTGTTATCCATATGAGATTGTTCAAAGAGCAATCATCTTTATATTCAGTCAATTAAGAACATGATTTAAATCGGCTTCAGGGGGCACACCTGCCCTCAAGACAATTTACCAATTTTGTAGCTCTGCAATCAGATTTGTGTATTTTTCTTAAAAAAAATACACCCAACCATCCTTCTGTATAAAAGGCACAAATAAACAAATGTTAAATCTGACTAATGCTTCACTAGCTTCAACAGGCTTTGAATTCATTCTCACCATTTCCTTCAGGGAAACAGTCTAACAGTTTATAAACAAAGTACTATAAAACATAAGCACATGGAGAAAAAATATTTTCCTTTTTTTCCAAGACAGTAAACTGCCTTGGAATAATAACAGAAATGCAGTCTAAATTGCTGGTGTTCTTTATTTTTGTGTTCAGTAGTCCTGAATATTTATGGAAGGTTTTTAGCTAGGGATGCTGCTACTTTATAATCTCAGAATGATTTGTTCTGACTCTGAAATTTACAGGACTTTAAAAGGTACTGCTTGTAAGTAAAAACTATAAAAAAGACAAGACATAAACAATGCTATTAGAGGTAATCACTAGAACAAACTAGTTGTACTTTATTGTTTTTGGAACCGTGTCTATAACCTAAATCATGGATCAGAAACCCATTGCATTAGGTACTGCACAAAACCAAAGCAAATGAAAAAGGCATTTACTTCCTCAAAGATCTTAGTTTAGACAATAGACAACAGCTGTTTAAAGACAGAAGGAATTAGCATAGGAAAAGCATTTAGTTAACATCAATTAGCAGTCATCTTGGCACTAAGCAGATAAACTATTTTCTGTGTAGTCACAAGGAAATGCAAGCTCTGAAAGTCATTTCTCAAGGGCAATATCCTCAATATCCTCAAAGATGAACTGGCATTCTGGGCTGATAAGAAAGAGTGTATAAATACTTGGATTCTGTATGAAAGGATGGTTGAATCAGTGAGAAGCCAGACCATGAGAGACTGCAAAAATGCAACTAAGCATGTTGCATTTGATGGATTCATCCCCAGTGGTCATATGCTGAGGTGCAATAACTAAGGCATAACAGAGCAGGGAGCCCAACAAGCATGTGAGATACACAGACGGAGAAGAAAGGTTGTCTCTTAAAGATGTTATGCAAAAAAAGTCTGTGAGATTTGGCACAGTCTGGCTAGAAGACATGAGCAGATGATAATCATGTCTGCATCATACACCTGATTCACCAGAAGACTGATGGCAGGGGGCACAGCAATGGAGAAAACAGCAACAAAAATGGTGTGGTTGGAAGGAAGGTTAGATGAATGTAAACCTTTCTTGTATAACAAGGGCAGAAATGAGAAAATGAGGTATCCCAATTAAAACCAGGCATGTGCATATTCATGCCCTTAAACAGTTCAGTTCTGTGGCTGGTGTCTAGGCAGTGAGGAGCTGTATTTGCCTACATAACCTAGATAATTAAGTGATGCAAGTTTTTGGGAAAGGTAGCTCTTTTCTGTCGAAAAGACACTGGTTGTTCATCATAAGGGCAACAATAATAAACAGTGAAGCACCAAGTACTTATTCCGTGGCAAGTAACCTTGCAGCAAACTTGGAAAACCAAATTCACACAAGATGCCTCCTAATGTACATAATGCCACATCCATGTTTTGTGTCCAAGGGATCAGACAAGGGACAGTTTCTCATCCAATGCAATGTCATTTATCTTAAATGATACTGGCATATCTGGGCCCAGTTTCTGAACCACCCCTACAATGCCCCTTCTTTACCAGCTATAAACCATGTCAGAGACTATAAGAGACAATATACATTCAAGTGAATGCAACAACCATGTGGGGTGTGCTCTGACTTAAGTAAGGATAGAATATATCAGATAAAGAGAAAAGAACATTATTATTGCAGCAGAAACAACACAGATATTTATGTTAACAATGTCCATTTTAATTCTACTTTCAGTTCATCCCAATTCTCACTTTCCTTCTGAAATTTCCTGATCTTGACTTCTGTCTGAACATACTTTTTAAGGAAAGTTTGAGCATCAACATCTCAGCCATCTATGAGAAGTGAAAGAAAGTCTTGCCATAATGAAAAAAATCTTTGCATCCTTGCTTTAAATAGCTCCCTAGTCAAGATGGCCACAGTTGGAGAGCCAGCATTTGGCAAGAAAATTTCTCTCAGTGGGAAGATATCTTGGCTTCTTTGAAGGAAAACTCACTTTGATTTGGTATCTTCCTTCCAGTACATACTGAAAGTTCATGATATAAGGTCTGCTTGAGAGAAGTCTTGTCACCGAGTTTGGTTTTGTACCAAGTGCCAGTAACTGAGAAGCTATTTGGTACGTGAGGCCACTTGTGTACTCTCAAACATGCACATTAAAATGTGGATAAATCACTGTTATGAAACAGCAGGGATACCAAAGCTTGAAGAAAAAGCTCCTACAGCTCTTAGAACCATCCGTGTCACCTTCCATGATTGAAGGACCTGTAACAGATGAAAGAATGGCTCCATGGATGTTCAGTTGCAATGTTACACTGAGGTCTTGCATTTTAAGAATTATCTTACCTACAACTGAATAGATTTATTTTAACATCTCAAAAAACATCTGTCTGCCCAAAAATGAGTGGAGTCCCACCAGTCCCCCTCCCCTATTTTAACATGTGTGGTTTTGCTGCTATTGAACCGAAGAAACCAAAACCCCTTGTATCAATTTCCACTGAGCCAAATCTTGTACAGTATATTTTGGAAACTATCCCCCTTTTAGAAAGAAAGTTGTGGCACTTTGAAAGCAGAGGATCCAAAATAAAAGCTGATATATATCTATATCATCTATGTCATCTATGTCTATGTCTATGTCTATATCTATCTATATCTATATCTGTATCTATATCTATATCTACCTTAAACAATACTGCCACCCTCACATTTTGAACATCTCCTTGTAGTTTGCTAAGCTTCAAACTTCTCTGTGTCTTTGGGCTTTGTCCTCTTGCATATCAGCTATGCAACTGTGGCATCCAAACTGATTTGGAATGGTTACTCCCCTCCACACAAATCCATTTACACTTCTCAAAGTTCCACTGCTGAGACCTCTGTATGTGCATCTTCAATTCTGCTGTAAGCAGAAAACCATTGCAGAGCAACTAAAACGATGCTGCAAGGTGTTGGGACACGAATCACAGCACTGGAAGGGTGCCAGGAGCCAAGAGAAAACTGCCTTCCTGACGCCAATCATTTTACCTGTCAGTCTCTGAAATGAGACACTGCCTAGATGAAATTAAGGCTTAAGAGGATGCTTGAAGCCTTGCTTGTTTCTGGAAGACAAACACAATGTTACTCCTTCTACTGTAGCTTTATTATTCCTCATCAAAGCATTTCTAATTTCCAGACAGAAAATTTGATGGGCAGGTTTTTCTGCCCATAAATAACATTTTCATAGAGGAACTAAGCCCTTCTTTTTAAGGGAAGAAAACATAGAAAAAAATGTGGGATTTGCCCTGCACTTTGAAGAATAATTCTTTTTCACCACTAGATCAGCGAATGTGTCTGCCTATCCTAATTTCATACCCTATTTCTGTGTTTGGTCTCCCTATAGCATATCCAACCTTTTACTTCCTTAGACCTCTCAAGCTCACAAAGAATTGCTTTGAGATGAAAAGTCACCAAAATAATCTTTCCAGGGAAATATTTTGCTATTTTTCCTCGGCACCTTAACAAGCATTCTAAAGAAAAGGTGTACTTAGAAATCTTGTGATAACATAAAAACATTTGGATCTAATGGGGTATAAATCAGCAAGTTTTTAGAAATCCAGATCTTGGTACAGAAACAAAGCTACCATGCCTGGAAACATTTTCCTTACAATTAACTTAATGCTGAAATGATGCTACCACACTCAACCATCATGGCAAATGCGCAGTAATGTTTTTGAAATGTTAGGATGTATCAGTATTTGTTTCTGCAATAGCTTGAAATGAAATCCTGACCATGGTAGAAATTGTTATATTTCTAAAAAGCACACATTAGAGTTGAGTGGGAGGGGAGAAAGCAGAATGCACTGCTTCCCTTTCAGCAGCATACTAAAACCAGTGGCATAGAGGTATTGGAGCTAAGCTCCATATTAACAGGCTATCCATCAGGCCATAATCAACAGTTTGAATGGAATAAACAAATGTGGAGTTCAGGATGTGAACACACACTGGTCTCATAGACGCTGGACCATACAAATTCAAACATGAATGACTACTTACCACTATAAAAGGCAATTTAAAATATACATCCCAGACTTACAGTTCCACAGGAACACAATACCCAGAAACCAAGGTATTGTGACCAATGCATCAGACTTATAGCTATTGCATGAAATTTAGACTTTGCTGATGGCAAAACCAAGCACCTATCTAGTCAAAAGTACAGCTATGTATTCACATTAAAGACGTCCAAAATGCACTTTTCCTGAGAAGGCCAATGATAAAAATGCGTGTGTCTCTAACAGAGGAGTGCCTAGCGCAGGAGCTGACATGCTGTGAGGTGGGGACGTGTTAGATGTTCTCTGCTGGGATGAGCTGGGGGATAACTGGAGAAGTTCCAGCTTGAATCAGCGTGGTTCCTTTTTTCCCTCACATACACGTGCACAAAAGGGGAAAAAACCCAGCCTTGTCTGGTAGGAAAACAGGGCCCATCAGGAACATTTATATCACAGGTCCAGATAAAGCCTGCAGATGCAGTCTGCCATGGGAAGGGTTTAGTGTCCATACTACAGCCTGTTATTGTAAGTGACTATATAGATACTCCACAGTGATAAATTAACTAAAAGACAATCAGCCATACTTAGGATGCCTAATTTCAGAGATACATTATCATGTAATGCTTCTGAACATAAAGCTCAGAACTGGTCTGTGCCTTAAGGCACTTCTACTCTGATTGAGAGCCCTACCTAAGACACCAAAATGTACTTTGTGACAGTTCAGATTAGTTAATGTTTCTGTGCTAGTCACTCCCTGATTTTAAGGCTGACAGCTCTGCATTTTCAATTCTTTTTAATGAAGAGTCAGGACTGTGGTAAGCTTGGCATTATATTTTATAAATATTATGAGAGCAGCCATTTGCCTGCCCAGGTTTGCTCTGATGCCTGTTAATCTGTGTGACTGTGCTCAGAATCAAAGGAACTGCAACAGCAAATACATAAAGGAAAGCTTCAAAAAGTAATGACAGCTACAGCTACAGAACTTCTAAGGAGGGAAAAATAACCACAGTTGGTTTTCTTCAAGCTGCAGTCTTCCAGAGATCAAGCCTGGGGTGGACAGAAAGCTGACATCTTCAGAGAAGGGAGAGGGATTTTTCTAGACATGCCAGAAAAATCACAGGATATGTTAATGAAACAGCCAACAATTTGGAAAAGCTGAACGCCAGAAGGTAGAAGTATGTTGTGGGCTGAACAGGCCCTTGCAGAGGGATCTGCACAGGCTGGATTCACGGGCTGAGACCAACAGTATGAGGTTCAACAAGGCCAATTGACAGGTCTGGACTTGGGTCACAACAACCCCATGGGTCTAGAGAGCAAGTCCTACGAGGAGCAGCTGAGGGAGCTGGAGTTGATTAGCCTGAAAAGGAGAAAAGGAGGCTCAGAGGGAACCTTACTGCTCTCTACAATTGCCTGAAAGGAGGCTGTAACCATGTGGGGGTCAGGCTCTTCTCTCTGACAACAAGCGACAGGACAGGAGGAAATGGATTCAAGCGTTACCTGGGGAAGTTCAGTTTGCACATCTGGGAGAATTTTTTCACTGACAGGGTGGTGAAGCATTGGAATGGGCTACCCGAGAGGTGCTGGAATCACCATCCTTGGAAGTGCTCAAGGAACAACTGGATATGGTTGTGGTTTAGACCTGGCAATGTTTAGATGTGGTCAAAGGATGGACTCGATGATCTTGGAGGTCTTTTCCAACCTTAATGATTCTGATTCTAAAAGTAATGTAATATAGCTCCTTATTTCATAAATGGCATTGCAGCTAACAATTGTCCCTAATAATCCATATATACAGCATGCCCATGCAGATGAGGAGGCTAAAATATCAACAGAGATTTGTAAAACAAGAAAGACATTCTATTTCACATTCACAGAATAAGGAAAAATATACATAATTAGTACTGGACACTATCTTGATGGGCAGCTTGGAAGTCTGAAGAATATAACCTGTTAAGGCTATGCCACAGACGAAACTATTAAAAGACTGCCATTTGCTAAAATAATTCTTTAAGTGTATGCTAGCTCCAGACTGTATCATGAGAAAGTCACCCACTTAAAAGAATGGAGTTTTCTATGACTTCTGCCTTACAAAATTTTGATTGAAATCTAAAGTGTCAGCACTGAGAACACAGGGTTGACATAACAAATGCCATAGCCAATTTGAACAATTATGAGCCCAAATCTGCCATAATTTACATATACATGTGATTCCAGCTGGTGAGCTCAAATTATGTATGCACAACCAACAGAGAATACTTTTTTATATATCTCCAAGTTTCATCACAAAAAATACAATGGATATTCAAGTCAACAGCATTTAAGCAAAACAAAAGATGCTTTAAGGAATATGCTGATCACCCTTCTCAGTGTATCTGTCCCAAATACTGCAAGTTTGATAGTGATGTATGATTTTATATCCAAACTTGCACTGTAAATACAAAATGAATGCAAAAGGATGCACCAAGGATGTGAAATGCAGCAACAAGTCAACAATTTCTTGTATCTGAGCTGTTGTATTACTGTTTGTTTTGTTACTGCTCTCCTCTAGGAGTACCCAAGCTGGTCACAGCACGGCTTCCCAAAAGAGAGCACTACTTGTGCATGTCTCTTCGGTGTCCAAAACAGAACAAAATCACTCCTGAATATGAGTGATTCAGCCTAGAATCTGAAACAATCAAAGATGATCATGATGTGCTTCTCCTTCCAAGTGGGAGATGGAGGAAGTTGTCTTTACCCGCTTCCTTGAGCCAGCTTTGTCCATATGAAGTCTGACAGTCCCATGACAGAACTTTAGCAGCAATGCAGCTTCTGGTGTGCCTGCCTATTGCACCATAGTTCTCTACAGCCACAGAAATATCAACCACACCTGCAAACACCACCACGACCACTGCACGATCAGGAAAGCAGTAGCAGCTCAAACAGCATGCAAAATAAGATGACACTGGACTCCAAATGTCAGGAGCTTTCAAAGTATAATCCCTGAATCTTTGCCAATCAATGATTCACATTTCAGGCATCCACAATGGTTAAGTGAGAAAAGCAAGTGTCTTGCAATCAGGAGATGCCTGCAGCCCCAAAGGACAAAGAAGACCGACCACACATCGCATACTTTGAAAGAGTCTAACTGGCTCGATTTTGCAGAGCCAAGTAGGGAAAAGGGCATTAAGATAAAACGGGCTTTTGGAATTTACCTGACAATAATGTGAGGAAGTTTGTTGTTTTGCTTCACACGCTATTTCTTGGACATATTCCTCTGTAGGAAGAGTTGTTAATGCTGTCTATGGCTCATCTATAACTGCCTTCCACTAACTTAGCTGAGAGATCACAACCCTTTCAAAATGAAATGTTTAAACTCATGAAAAAGACCGATCCAAACAACACTCATATAATTTGATGTTTAGGACTTCTCAAGGCTGAACGAACTCAAGTCTTCTTAGGAGAGATGCTTCAGCCTTCTGATTATCTTTGTGGCACTCCTCTGGACACAATCCAAAAAGACTTGGTCTGTTTAATTTAAAAAACCAAACCAAAGCAAAACAAAAAATGTGAAAGGAGAACTCTCTTTTACTAATAAGAATATACAGTTTGAAGCTATCTTTTAATTCAAATAATAAATTCCAACTTCAGTATCTCACTTAAAATGGATCACTGCATTTTTGTTTTCTTATGAAAAAGTGTAAATCAGCCAAACAAGTGTAACACACACCTATCTGCAAAGCCAAGGCATATGTGAGCTGATCCTTTCTGAGACCAGTGTCGACGTCTAGCAAGATGAACCAGATGCAATACACTATTCTTTCATTTATGTTACATCCTTCTTTCACTACTTTTATTGAACACTTAGTGTCTCAGCTCCACAGACTTGCAATATAATTGGTCTCCATTTGCTGATCAGCTCGTTTTCAAGAAATGGACAAAACAAGCTATGGCCAAAAAATCACCATCCATCTCAAAGAGAAAGTTTGGAGCAGAACACAGAATGGGAAATGGTAATACAGAATGGGATCCTGACTTGGTCTGCTACAGCACATCATTTGCTCTTTTGCTAGCATACCTAAAAATATATCTTGAGAACAAATGGTGCATTTGACCTTACTGACAGTAGCACCGGAGGGAATCGTGTGTTGTTTCAGAACCAGCAAACCTGTATATATCATCACTATACATTTTGTCCTTATTTTTCATAAAAAAACAACCACCCCGAGCCCCTACATTACATGCAAGCTAACAATTTATTTTTTCATAGCATTGTTATTTTAAAACACTGTGTTCGTACATATATGTATATGTTGACACTTTCTGGAAGGGAAATGGACTTGCTTGACACCATGAGGGTAAATGAAGTTTATGGATGTATAAATACAAACCAAAAATTACTATGTTTATGGTGTGATACAATAAAGGAAATCAACCTTTCATGATTCACGATGAATAAATTTACTGAACTACACTTTTTAACTTATGGGTACACACATTAACCCATGAAAAAAATTATTCCTTAGCGCTATAATTCTTTGAAGCAAAATCTCAGGACTCACTCCTGTAATCACATAATTTGTAAAGCTGCAAGGCTGGGAAGCTTAAACAGCAGCAAGGAGCACACAGAGACAAGACTCAGAGATTTTCACCCTTTTGAGTCAACAAGGGAGTGTTCCAGCTGACATATGCAGCCTCTGCTTGCCCTTTGTCATGTCTGTGTTTCACCTCAAAAACTGTCAGTGACTTGTCAGAATCAATCAGAAAAGCTAATGCAATTCTGCAATGATGTACAAGTTTGGACAGCATGACATCAAATTTCTGGTAGTGTGTGTCAAGTACCATATGAAAACAGATGTCCTCATTACTCCACTGCTTTGGTACAAAAGAGTACATCTTACCTTTTTGACCCGTATCTGGCAATTGGGGGATACAATAAAGGACAGCCAGCGATTACAGCCTCTAGCCAGTACTTTTATCATATAAATCGAATTCTAATCCTCTTTATCTTCTGGCAAAATAAGTTTACTTTAGCAAATACAGTTTTCCTACTGGATGCTGCTTTATGTTCCAAAGACTTAGAAGTCAGACTGTCAGTGCTTCAATGAACTGACAAAACCCATCATCTTGCTTAATGCAACATGGGGTTTCAGACTTCCTGTCAATAACTGCTCCAGCTTGACCAGAAAAGCCAAAGCCTGTTACTAAATGGCTGTGCAGCTCCTGGATGAAGCTGGAGCTTGGAGCATGATTAGGGACCTGAGATGCAGCCTCAACAGGGGTTAACATACAGTGCTGTCCTTTCCTACAGCCAAAATGCTTGCTCCTAGTATG